GCCTAGTTTGCCTTGTGGTAGATACACCCCTGGTCTCATGTGAAAGCGAGGATTCTGATGTGATAGAGGCCCCTGATGTGATTGTAGGACTTCTGATTTAAAAGGGGGGACTCTGATGTGAACGGGGGCGGGGGCTCCTCACTTGAAGAGGGGGCTCTCATGTGAAAGGGTAGACTCTGATGTTAAGGAGGCCCCTGATGTTAAAGGGGGGGGGGCCTCTCATGTAAAAGGGGGTGGGGGGACTCTCATGTGAAAAAGGCCCCTGATGTGATAGGGGGCTTGTGATTTAAAAGGAGGGACTCTGATGTGAAGGGAGTGGGTTCCTGATTTTCTGTTTTTGCATCACCTCCATAGAATTCATACAAGACCTCATACTTCCTCATTACATCCAATTCTAGTGTATAGACATGTTGATCTCTAGGAATCTCAAATAAGGGTCTGGTATGGATTTCGAAGGGGCCACATACCATTTTGTTTTTTACATTTTCGGCTGGGGTACCTCGAGATTCTGCATGCTTTTAAAGGGTGCCGAATACCAATACCGCAAGTCCCACTAAGGAAGCCAGGCAATGTGTAGTGACTGGCCACCCGGCTTCCCGATTAGCAGGGAGGCCGTCTTCATGCATCCGCTTCACCAGGTGATGAGAAAGCATGGAGCCGGCTTTCTGTCCAATCAGGAACCCGGGCACCTGGTGACGGGGGAGCATGGCGCTGGCTTCCCGGCCAGACTGGAAGCTGGGCGCTGCGTCATTACACGGCGCCTGGCTTAATGGGACTTCCGGTATCGGTTAAAAAAAAAATACCGGTATTCGATACAGAAAATACGGTATTCGTGCATCCCTACCGAGAACCTCCGCTCCGAAGAACGACCATTGGAGTTGAGCCAACAACCAGTCGTGTTCTGTAGAAACCCCTCGAGGAATTCTCGGCAGACAAATTTGTAGCAGCCCTCCCCCCGCCGCTCTCCGACTTAGATTACCACACCTAGGAAAACATTCGGCTTCCCCATTATCAGGAGGATTGCAGACTTTAAAACAAAAGATTATCTTAAGAGATACCACATTACATCTGTACGGCTGATGGCGTGCCGGAAGAGCGGAGGTCTAATTTGCCATGCGAGATGGAAATAAAAAAAGCGTTCAGATGGTTCTCCTCGGCAGCGGATAACACAGAACCGAGGCCAAGTTATTGAGGTTTTTCTCTCCCTAGCGCTCGGTGCAATGTTTCGGTCTCTGTTGGATGGCTACAATTAAACATCATTGAAAACACTTGTGCGATCCTCCGTTTAACACCGAGGGGGCGAGCCTCTCTCTCTCTTTCCTGAGCTGTATCAATTTGCCTGTGCTTACATCAAACGCAACGCTACGAGCTGCTTCTAATTTAATACCATTTCGCTCCATGGCACATAACAAATTGGAGACCATGTCAGTGTTATTTTTTTATAGCGATATCGCAGTTCAGAATCATTAAACAAACAGACTTTGAAATTCTCAGCCAGCTCGCGGGAGACAAAAAAAAAAGTTTTTCTTTTTTTTTGGAAAGTTGAAATGATTCCGCGGCCCTGCACAATTTCAGACTGTTTAGCGAGCTGTGTCAGCTCCTTGCTTTGATATGCTAATGCCCCTTAAAAAAAAATGGGAAAAAAAGAAATTTCCCAGAATTCCCGTTGATCTCGGGTGGTCGAGGCGTGTTGGGAAATTCTTACGGTGGCCTTGGGCTATGGGAAGCCCTCCTGCCAATCAGGGCAAGCCACCCGTAAACTGGCTGCCAATCAGATGTCAGTTTATAAGAGTGGCGACTTTTTTTTTGTGGTTCAGTTTGGGGATTTATCACTGTCTGCGATTTCCCGGGCCGGTAAGTGACAGGAGCCAGGTTTCAATAACCGCTTTCTCTCCCGTCTTACAGATTGGACTACAGGAGGCGTGATGTAGGAACGCGGAATGACGCCACTGATGGTGATCTTTAAATGCTGCTCTGATTTAGATGTCACGTCGGCGCGCGGGGCAAAGGCGTTTCTGACGAGGAACATGTGACAGTTTTTGGAGCGTATGTATAGTGATTTATTTATCAATGTTTTTGTGAATTGTTTGTAATTGTGTAGATACGTAGGAACAGATACAATGTATGCATCACACACACACACATATATATATATATATATATACACACAGTATATAATGTTATATATGCATATTCTGCTTCCTTCTAAAGCTGGCCATACACTGATCTTTTGTCACTGCTGCCCATTTCTGCTAATACAGCCAAAATAAAGGCTGCGGGTGGCCCTTTGGGGACCACCCAACACCACCCGGATTGTATAGATACAGTACATAGGTACTAGGGATACACAGATACTGGTTTTACGGTATCGAATACGAGTACGATTAGGTTTGCCACCTTTTCTTCCAGCGAAACCCGAACACTCTAGTGACGCACAGAAATGTTTTTCGGAGAATGAGTCGCAGCTTATTCATATGTAAATATCACAGTCAAGACTATTTTCAGTGGGGCGCAGTAGCCCCTATCTTAATTTTGGTTGCCCCTGTCTGCCTGACATCTTGTGTCCGGGTTTCTGCTGCCATGAAACCCCGACACAGCATTCAAAACCCGAACTGTCCGGGTGAATCCTGGACAGGTAGCAACCCTGAGTACGATACTGAGTACCGAAACCGGTACTTCCAGCAGCATGAAGACGGCTTCCCAGGAAATCAGGAAGCCGGACAGCGTGTCATTACCCACCACCTGGGTTCTTGATTGCCCGGGAAGCGGTTCCACACTGTTTGGCCGGCTCAATGCTGATTGGCCAAGAAGCCAGCATGAAGCCTGCTTCCCGGGCAATCAGGAAGCTGGGAGGCGGGTCATGTTCTATGCTGTTTGGCTGGCTCCATGATGATTGGCCAAGAAGTCAGCTTTCCAGCCAATCAGCAGTAGAGCCGGCTTCCCGGCCAATCAGGAAGCTGGGAGGCGGGTCATTAACCGTGGCCAAGCTTCCGGATTGACCGGGAAGCCGGCTCCATGCTGTTTGGCTGGCTTGATGCTGATTGGCCGGGACGCCGGCTCCATGTTCCCTTGCGACACTGCTGGTCAGAGAGACATTTCCATGATTAGGATAAGTATCGGAGCATTTGGGTGAATACGAGTGCTCACCCAAATACTCGATATCGGCACCGATACCTATACTAGCATCGGTATTGGTGCATCCCTAATAGGAACAGATAAAATGTATTAATCACATACAGTATGCAAATAATATATTATGTTACATATCCAGATTCTGCTTCCTTCTAAAGCTGGCCACATACTGCTTTTATCTCACTGCTGGCCATTTCTGCTAAAACAGCCCAAAATACAAGATGAGGGTGGCCCTGTCGGCACCACTTGGATTTTATAGCTATATAGGAACAGATACAATGTATTCATCACATATGCAGATGATAGATTATGTTACATATGCATGTTCTGCTTCTTCTATAGCTGGCCATGAGCTGATCTTTTGTCATTGCTGGCCATTTCTGCTAAAACGGCCATAACATGAGCTGCAGGTGGCCCTGTCAGCACCTCCCAGCTTGATAAAAGTCGACTTTTGCTGGAGCCAGGTGAATGATTGTCGGCTAAACAGTCACTGCAGCCAATCAGACACAGCCAAGGTTCGGATATTCAGCCAGCTGTGGGTCCTGAATACAATAGCCAGCAGAGGAGATTCCTTCATCCACATGGGGAGGGGCGATTTTTCTAAATATCTAAGGGTATCTTTCATCTAAATGTATTCCTCAATGGTCACAAAGAACTCCGTCCCTCCCATCACTTGTACCGGCTCCACTACTGGACTGAAATGTCTTCCTCTGATGTCACTGCACACTGTGAGCTTCTCACAACGTGCATTAGAAGCTGCAGCAAGTCAGATAGAGCTCCGCCTCCTTTCCTGGCTGGAGGATATCCAGCATCATTTAGCGCTTTCCTCCCCAACCTGACTGCCCCTGCCCCGCCCCTTTCATTCATTGGATCTCAGTACTTCCAGTCATGGAGACTCAGCATTACATGTGGGTGTCACCTAGGGTGGTCTGTATGCAAATACAGCCTACCTAGGAACGCCCACTTCTCCAGACTGACACCCACCCATTGAGGCATTTTTATATCTGCATAGCTCCTCCCAGGATCCAGCCCACTGCTTGCATCAGGGCTGAGGGCTCTTGAAAAGAATATTGAGGCAAGGTGCTGTGATGTTTGCAGGAAGCTATTTACAATCCCCCCC